GAAAGGAAGAAGAGAAGGTTCAACTTCCATAGGCAAAGATGAAGCAAACAGAGAAGGGTCACTGTGGCAAAAGAAGGGAAGGGGTGGGAAGGTCAGGGAAAGAATAGAGGGGGACTCAGGGTGAAGAGGGCAAGATGAACCGACTCTCTCGACTATGGTATAAGCATCCTCAAATAGGCCCAAAGAAGACCTGCATGGAGGAGTCGACGGGAAGGAAGCTAGCGGCTCCTGGCTCGAGATGGATGGAGAGCACTGAGAAAGGGAAAGTTCACAAGAAGGCTTGGGTGGATCTTCAAGGTTGGGAAAGAGAGAGAGGAGGACGACGTTAGGTGGACCGTCAGGGGGGTGATGTGTCGGGAGGCCAAGTGGCAGAGGGAGAGACAGGAAGGTTTCTTGGGCAGAGCGAAGCATCATACGAGTGGACAGCACCTGCAGCCGAAGCAATGGAAGGCGGCAAAAAGGTGGCAGTTGTCTCCTCAAGAGAGCCTAGGACACTAGGGGAAAGGGGCGCCTGTCGCGTGGTCGTAGGGACAGACGTCAGGGCGGCTGGTGTACCTTTGTCCAATGAGTTCCTCCCCTAGTGGATCAGGTCAGCTACCGAGCCCCAATTCTCAGCCCTGACTGAGGAAGACAGGTCCTTAAAAAAGGTTGAAGGCCCAGAATCCTCTACTACCTCCTTACCGAGTCGATGGGTCGATGAAACCAGGGGACCCGATGGAAGGTGATAGTTGTTACCAACCCCATCGCCTTCTGAGATTGGGTCTAAGAGGGTAGGCCCAACAGAAGCGTTCGGCGTCGACTCTCTGACATCGCCATCCCCATCGTCCCCAGAGAGCAATGGTAGTATGTCACGCGGTATCCACTGGGAAGACCGGTGACCGTTGACTGGCCGGAAAACTTGGTCGGTAAACTCTCTTGCCAGGAAAAAGGTCATGGAGATTCCGGCGGTGGCGCCGCTTGGCTAAGCCAGATTTCCTAGAGACGATACTCCAAGAAAAGGAAGAAGAGCTTTCCAGCAATGAGTGCGAACTGCTATCTACCAGATTATCCGAGGGGGGAGAAGGTAAAGGATGGAAGTTATGAGAGTATAAGTGGAGGAGGCGTAAAGATGGAGAGGGTGGGGGAAGGATATAAAGTTTAGAAGAAAGATAAGCTGGAACAAAGTTTAAATGGGGGGAAAAGGGGAAAAAGGATATGATTGAATAGGTAAGCTGGGGGGATTAGAGAGGAAAGATAATGTGAATGTAGAAAAGAGAGAGAGAGAAGAGAGAGAGAGAGGAGATGGGGGGATTAGAGAGGAAAGAGAATGTGAGCAAAAAAGAGAGAAAGAGAGGTGAAGCTGGGTGAGATGTGGGGGAGGAGCAAGAGAGGAGGATATAGTAGCAGAAGAGAGAGAGATGGGGGGATTAGAGAGGAAAGAGAATGTGATAGCAAAAAAGAGAGAGAGAGAGGTGAAGCTGGGTGAGATGTGGGGGAGGATCAGGTGAGGAGGATATAGTAGCAGAAGAGAGAGAGGGAGAGACATGAGGAGAGATAGATGGGTGAATAAAGTCATAGAATTACTTATCTTTGTTGTTGCGGCAGATCTAGGTTCTTCATCTCTTGTTGGAATTCTGTAGCGAGCTTTATGTTCCTTCTTTGTAATTCAGCGGCCACAGCTACTGCAATGGGCGATGACATCCGCCAGAAAGGTGGACATGGGAAGGAGATTGAGAGAGAATAGTGTATAGGGGGGAGATATGAATAGAAAAATGGAATAGATGTGGCAGAGTGAGAAAAATTGGTGGTGAGTTAACCGTGGTAAAAAAAGGTCCCTTGGGAGAAGGTAGAGATGGGTTTAGAGGGTGACTGTAAAGAAGAATAGAAATATTGCTAATAAAAAACTAAAATGGGGTCCAGGGATTTAGGCTTAAAAACCATGTCCTTTTGCTTCCTTTTTTTTTTCTCTCTCTGCCGTTTTTCTTCTTTTTTTTTCCCCCTTCTCCTTTTCCTTCCTTTCCCTAGTGAAATCACATTATGCTTACAGACCAAGGATTGCTCCTTCCCTGGCCAATCTGTCTGCCTCTGAGTTAGCCTCTCTGTATATGTGGGTAAAGGACATCTGACGAAGGGAGTTGCATAAATAAAAAATATGATAAAAAATGGAAGAAAACCTCCATGGAGGTGATCACAGTTGTGTGGCTCCATTAATGCTGTTGAGAGAATCTGATTCCAACAGAATGCCTTCTGCTCCATGTGCTAACAGAAGCACCTTGTTGAGGCCCACTAGAAGGGCCTTAGCCTCCGCGTAGGTCGAGTCTTGGTGTCCTATGAACAAAATCATAGGAAGTTAATCACATATTCTTTTGATTTTGGCCAGGTATTCAGATATGCACGTATCTTCCTTGTTACAATTAAGAAGTTATTGTCTCAAGTGCATTAGACTTGTTTGAGGCAGCTTGGCATAAGAGTTTTGTAATTCTTTCCATAAATTCTTCAGCACGTCTATATCGACCATTTGTGATAATATATTTAGTGAAAATATAAAATGACAATGTATTTATGAAAATATAAAATTAATCCACCCAATTAATCCTTAGGCCTTCCTAACTGGAATCAAGCTCTTTAATAATTCTTGGGGTAGAATCTTACAGATCGACGGAGATGCCAAAAACATCATAAAGTGGGGTTCTGGTAAAAGAGACCCACCTTGGTACTTGGGTCATATATTTGATGAGATCGATCACTTATGCAGGGACTTGGAAGTCACTTGGAGGCGCACCGCAAACGCAACGGCAGACGCACTTGCTAAAGAAGCGGCCCGGCAACATATCTAACAGGATGTTTAATTGTGTAAAAGGGCATCTTTACTAGCCCTAGCCGTCTTTTGTTGACTTCTTTTCTCTACTCTTGTTATAGTGCGCGAAAAGGTCTGAAGCTCTCAACTACCCTTTTGTCCGCTTTTGTACTTGGGTACTGATATAAGCCCCCTCTCTGTTGTAAGCCCACTCTGCTGTTGTGTAAGTCTTTGTAGTACAGGTCTTTGTAGGTCCTCCTCTCAGGGACCATGATGCTGTTGAGGACATGTATGGAGGCCTCACAGTATCGACGAACTCATGTAAATTATTTTCATTTAATGTTAAGTTAATTTCTATCAAAAAAGAAAAAAAAGTCACCCAATTAATCCTTGATCCTTGAGAAGCCAATCATCATATTTAAGGTTAAGGGTTACAATTTTTCACGCTTCCCTTCTGTACGCACTTCTTCTCTGGCGATGAACTGTGGTGGTGCCTTGCGCGATCCACCAATGTTTTTTTTATTTTTTGGGTAATTCAGTGGGAAAGACAGACCCCTATCCGTATTTTCTTGTAGATTAGGGAGTTTGCTTTTTTTGAAGTGTCAATAGATGGTGTCAGCAGAATTGGAAACCACATCGTGGTAACTAGGTATGGAGGTGCTAACACCATGACCCAGCTCCTTTCCTATAAAAGGCAAGTCAGTGGGGATTTGGGCCCCTATGCTTTTGTGAGAATGGAAGACGAGACTTCATGCCTGGGGGGCGGTGGTTTTACCACCAAGGCCCCATCCCATTCTTGATTCGATCCATCAATGTGACCCATCAATTGTAGGCTTTTGATGAAAGGAATCATAACTCCTTTCCATACAATGAAATTGGAAGAAGAAAGTTGATGGTAACTTTTGGGAAAGTAATATTGAGGAGACTAGAAGATTCGATGGGATCGAATGAGTAGAAAGTAATGGAAATAAGGTGTTACTTCTTCTTTTTTGTCCTTTTTGTCATTCCTCTGTCTTTTGGAAAGGAAAAGGAAATTTTCTGTTCACATGAACAGTAACTAGGGTTTAGTATTCACGTCAAGATAAATATTTAGGGTCAAGAGATTTGAGAAAAGAAGAAATTTAGGGTTAAGAGAAACTCTAATATCGACAATTAGCGCTAGGTAGCTATAGGTAGCTTAAGGAGGTATAATCTAAATAATAATCAACAAGAGAAGAGATGAAAAGAGAGATTTTGGTACCTTTGATCAATGGGTCACACTAATGGTTGTACCTTGCTTTGATACCATATTAAAATATCACCTTGAATACTTGAGAGAGAAACAAGTTGTGGTACGGGTAGAAATGGATGGAGAGGAAGCCAAAGAAGAGTGATGTGGCCCCTAATTTATTCGTGAGTGAGGGACTGCACGCAAAGATATTAAATTCAGAAAGTACGTAATTGTCCTTTATAATGAACATGAACTACAAATACAATAATAATTTACAGCAATATGCAAAATTATGAATACACCCCTGACCACTATGGCTAACAGTAAACATTTGGCTTAAGAGCGTCAACCTTCTATAAAGCCTGTTACCACCTTGAAATGAATGGCTACATTTGCCACGGTTCAAAACACACCAGAACAATGACTTCCACAGACTCAAATTTAGTTCTTTTCTGATGATATTGTTGGAAGTGGCATCCAACCAGGAGTATAACTGTATGAGAGTTCTTGAGGTTTGTCCTCACATGTAGGAGTTGATGGCATGTGATGAATTGTAATTATTATTTGCCATCAATCTGAGACAATCCACAACGTGTGGAGCTATTCATATGAGCATTTGACAAACAAATAGGAAGAGCTTGAAAAAATTCCCAACATGGAAGCAGAGCTTGACAGAACACAACCCAAAGCTAAAGAAAGGACCAGCTTTTGGAATTGACAGTTCAACCTATCCAATACATGACTTTGTCACGGACAAGTATCTTCACGCATGTCATGTCTCTTAATACGTTATTGTTAACACCATTGTCACTTTTTCATAATCTTTTGGGGGTGTTTATGCCAATGTACATACAACTAATCCTTTTCTTCTATGTCTGGTGTGAATCCCGTGCTTCTAATCTGATCTGCTTGTACTCTAGTTTATTCCAGATTTACGTTTACTTTTGAGGCCTTTATTGGTTCTTGTGTTGTTAAAGACCTATTGGAATTAGGATATTGCTTTGATTGTTTCAGGTGACATCTGTTTCATTCAGCAGTTGCGGTAGATACTTCCATGCATCAAGCACGGGGAACAACACATTGGTATGGGATACGCGCATGATCTCAACGAAATGTGGCCAGATGCCTTCAGAGAGGCCCATCCCTGTCAGTGATCTGAGCTTGATGAGGCCTCTACATTGTTTGAGCCATGGGAAACCAATGCCAACTGCAGAACATGCTGGTCAACTTCCAGGGTGAGTTATTTATCATAGAGTGCTTATTTTCTAAGGTCACTCTTTGACCAATGACACCTGATTTTCTAAAAGTGACAGATAATGGAGTCTAAATTGTTGTATGAAATATTAAGCTTTTGTTCACGGAGAAAGTATTACAATCCGACAGATATAGAGAAACCGTAGTCCATTGTGTCATCACCATCTACTGAAATGATGGATGGTGTTAGAGAGATTCTGGGACCTGTCAGAACAAGCATGAACCTGGTGGTGCATCCAACTCTCTCCATCACCATTCATCATTTCATTGGATGCTGATGTTCCAGTGGACTATGGTTTCTCCATAGTCCATCGAACTGTTGCACTACATACCAGTCAAATTTCTGCTTATTCTTAGGTCTATTATTACTTTCTTTGTTATTCATCAAAAAGGAAAGTTGCTTTCTTGCTCATCATAAATTTGATTGTTGCTGTAGAAAGACTTCCCCAATATTTTTACGATGAAATATTTGCTTATACCTGCAGTTTTTGAGAGATGGGTCTTTTTTCTGTAAATATTGGTGTGAATTTCTTAACTATTTTGACTTGCTTTTGCTTTTTATTTTTTGTTTTTGTTGAGTAGTTCATCGGTGATTTACTGCCTTATAGCATTCTCCTACAGGCAGTGACTATGTATAGTGAATGCTATAAGGAAGAATTCTTGGAGAAAGTATACCATAACCTATAATCGTACAGTTTCTGGTAAAAAATTATAGCTTGTTTGTCCATAAGTAATGGATGGTGGTGGAGAGAGAGAGAGGAAGCCTGTCCGGGGGGGGGGGGCTTGGCTCTGCATCACTGCCCATATTCTCTATGGAGTGATAATCCTAAGGAATATGATTTTTACATAGTCTTCAGGATTATAGTTTACTTTCACTTGGATATAATTGTTATTGTTATTTCCTTTGAAAAGCGAGATGTACATTTAATAACTTATAAAAATGGATCACAAAAAAGCCAAATAGACTTTTTCCTAGTTAAGAAGGTAGATCGTTAAAGACTGCAAGGTTATCTCAGTAGAAAGTTTGACTACCCAACATAGGCTCGTTGTTATCGACGTCTCCATAAAGACATGGAAGAGAAGCATTGAAATTAATAGATGTCCAAAAACTAAGCGGTGGAATTTAAAAATTGAGAAAACAGACTTATTTATGGATAAATTACTTAAAGAAGGAAAATAAAACTCTGAACATGAGGTCAATTGGAATGAGATGGTTGACTGTATTAAGAAAGTAGTAAAAAACGTTTTTGGTGAATCTAGAAGGAAAAGAAATTCCGATAAAGAAACTTGGTGGAGTGATGAGGTTCAGAAGGCCATTAGCAAAAAATGATGATGATATAAAACTTGGCAGGGTAATAGAAATGATCAAACTTAGAAGAATATAAAAATTCTAAGAAAAATACTAAACAAATAGTAAGTGAGGCTAAACTTAAGGCATATGATAATCTATTCAGTAAACTAGGAATAAGAGAATGTGAAAAAGATGTCTTCAAATTGGCAAAAATGAGAGAAAAGGTGCAACGATGTAGACCATATTAAATGCATTAAGAGTAACTATCTAGACCATATTAAATGCATTAAGAGTAAGGATTAACGGGACTTGGTGAACAATGAAGAGGTTAGCGAAAGGTGGAGAACTTATTTTAAAAATAACAAACACAATGGGAACAAAGCGATAGAAGGAACCGCTGGTATAAAAAGGCGGAGGTCATAGATACATTCGTAGGATGGATGTCGAAGTGAAAGAAACTTTGAAAATGAAGAAGATAGGAAAGGCTTTAGGACCAATTGGTATCTCGATAGAGATTTGGAAATGCATGGGGGAGAGTGGCATTGATTGGCTGACCAAGCTATTCAACAAGGTGTTGAGGACAAAGAAAATGCCAGACGAATGGAGGAAAAGTACTGTGGTACTTATTTATAAGAACAAAGGAGACATATAATTGTGCGAACTATTGTGGTATGAGCCACACTACGAAGCTTTAGGAGAGAGTGATTGAGCAATGACTAAGGCATGAAACGAGTGTACCACAAAACCAATCCGGTTTTATACTAGGGAGGTCAACATCCGAGGCTATTTTCCTACTTAGGCAATTGATTAAGAAGTTTAGGGCGAAGGGAAAAGACCTCTACATGATTTTTATTGATCTAGAGAAAGCTTATGATAGAGTTACCTAAAGATTTGATGTGGTGGGTGTTGAGAAAGAAAGGAATCTCCAAATACTACATCAACTAGGTGAGAGATATATACGATGGAGTGCTAATTAGTGTACGAACTAGTGGAGAGACGAGTGAGTTTCAATGACAATAGGTATGCATCAGGGGTCTGCATTGAGCCTGTACCTCTTTGTTTTAATTATGGACGACTTAACTAGGCACCTACAAGATGAGGTACTGTGGTGCATGTTCGTAGATGACAGTTTTGATCGTTGGAGACCCGAAACAACGTCAACACAAAGTTGGAACTTTTGAGGGATGCTCTAGAATCTAAAGGGAAAATAAAATTAAACAACTTCATCTTCTCCTTAATGTGAAGTTCGGTATTCAAGTCTTTTAGAAGAGTTGATGTTCAAGAAGTCATTTACATAGGTGCAAGGCTAGAAATGGTTATAACTCTAATTCGACTAGAAGTTGGACTTGGGTCAAATTATAAAGGGATAAAGCTCCTAATAATCCTTCCAAATTCATGATGGCGGATTTTTGGGATGGATGGCTTAGATTTGTTCTTTTTCACCCCACAAATTTCTTAAGTTTCTATTGGTCAAATTGTGCCATTGAATAGGTAATACTTAATGAAGGAATTCTAATCCAAATAGGGGAAGAAATTTTTTCTCCCGAGTCGCTCTCTCTCTAGACACATATTTATGTCTCCTCCATGCACAAAGTCTCTCTCTATCGTTCGTTGAAAATTCGTTTTTCACTTTCCCCCCTTTCAAAATGGGTCATGCCACCCAAAATTTGATAAGACAAGGGTGGCACATTGAAACCCTAAATAGGGTTTTGATGTTTGGAGAAGAAAAAGGGGTATACCCAGCTATGGGAGGATTCTATGCCTTCAAGCCCAGCCCCAATTTGTTCCTAAGGGTTCCTACCATAGTTAGCAAATTACTGTTTTAAGTGCGATTCTTTCAAAAAATTGGAGTTTTTTTTTACAAACATTTTAATTTGCGATTTTTTCAAAAGAGCGTAAAAAAAACACTTTTTTTCATGAAGAAGTTTAAAACGCGATTTTTTTATATTTACATAAATTGTTTTAGAAGTTCTTCAATGTTTGGCAAGGAAATATGACTTTGATGATTTCGCAAAAATTTCTCTCATGAGTCGTTGTCGTCATCGTCCTCCTTGCCATCCTACTCTTAGTTGGGACCAGATCTACTCTCTCTACCCCAAAACCTTCCCTCCATTTCCCCCTCGCAGCCAGCCCTCTCGTCCTGTATGACCTAAGCAGCCCGAAGTTGAGTCCGTACTACCACCTGAGGCCACTTTTTCAGAGGTGGTGGCCTCAACAACATCACCTTCTGCTCCCGTCGCCCCTCCTAACTTGTTTGGGATGAGTTTCTCTCCTTCTTCCTCCCCTTTCCTTCCTTGCATAATCTTTACCCCATCTCAAGAAGCTACCTAGCTTAAGCTAAAACTTGCCTCATGCTTGGTGGCCACTTTCCAACATAAACGTGACGATGTTAGAGGCATAGAGCGGTGGGCCAAGCTCAACTGGGGAGAACCTACTCTCACTTGCAGACGCATCTCTAGTGGGGATTTCCTCTTCTCCTTCTCGTCCCGTGAGCAAGCGTTGCATGCTCTTCACAATCCTTCTCCCTCTTCCTTCAGTGGAGCTTCCTGCCTACTCTGAGCGTGGTCCCCCTCTGAAGGCTCTTTCAGAAAACAGCGTGTGTGGTTGACCCTCTACCATATTCCTCTTCACGTGTGGTCCCCCTCTACCTTCAGGAAAGTGGTGGGAGTTTGCGGTGACTTGATTTCTATTCATTGGAAATCGATTGAGACTCTCCCTCTCGGCTCCATTCGCCTGCTTTTGGAGGTGCTGGACACCAACCTTTTCCCTTCTAGCCTCTGGCTTGAAGTTGACGGTCTCTTCTTTGAGGTTTCCTTTCGTGGTCGAGAGCTTCTCCCCCCTCCTCTCTCTTCTTCATCAGGCGAATCCAGCTCCGGCGACTTACCCTAATGCATGGACAACTGTGACGCGTAAAAACCACCTCTTCAGGAGGCGCCCCCGCCAGGCCTCTGCCTCTTTTTCGAGCCTTAGGATGCGACCCCAGGCCATGGATCCCAAACCTCCAACCTCTGGCAGTGCTGTCAACAGCCTCCAGTACAGTTAGGGTACGACTATGACATTGAGCCCACCAACCCTCAGCCGGCGCGAGAAAGGATTGATGTCCTGACAACCGTCAGAACCGAAGTACGTTCCTCTCAATCTGACCTGGCCTCTCTCCCCCCGCATCGACCCGGGAAAGAGCCCTTCAGGAATATCCTCTTGTACCCGGCCCATCCTCCTGGTTGGACCCTGCGAAACCTAGTCCCTCCTTTTGTCAGGACCCGGCTCGCCAGAACTCGTCCCCTGCTATATTGGCCTCTGACCCCTTACTTTCCTCGGGTGCCACGTACCCCGGTGCTCTGCATGCCTCCGACCTTGCATTTACTCCCGCCGCCTCTCCCTCCTCCTCGACTGCCACGTCCCTTTGCGTGCAGCCCTCCCCTGGCCACCTGTCGCCCTCCCCTTTTTTGATTCTGCTGCGTGGGCTTCCCATTTCTCCTTTGTAGGCGTCCCCACCTACCTCCTCTTTTCCATCCCCTAACACATCTCCCTCTCTCTTTTCTCCCCTCGATGCTATCTCTTTGCCTTCCCCCTCTCGAGTTCTTGGCCTCCCCCCCTTTCCCTCTCCCTCTCAAGTTTCCTTATCGCCTTTGGCGATTTCTTCTTTTCTCCCCCCTCTCCTGGCTTCCTCTATGCGTCTGCTTTTCGGCC